ATTGTTTGCTTTAAATCTGATTGAGTGACTCTGCATATTCGCAGTAATTGAATTTAGCTTTAGTCAACAATAAGCACGCTGAGCAGAGACGTATTAGGCTCGATCTCTATAGAGAACTCATGAGCTGCAGTGAGTTAATTAGATAATTAGAATATTACTTATAAATTATGAACAAGATTAAGAACAGCCCAAAATGGATCTTGCTCGATCGCCCCGTGATATTTAATTGAATTGCTGGAATTACCCATATTTGACTTTGTATCTTTAGATATTTGCTTATTGATATTACATTCAGTAAGATTACAAATAAGGCAAAGGTGGTTTGGAATTTCTTAAATAGGTGCAAAATAAAATGCAAAGTTTATGAAAGCTTGATCGCAGTTCAGTTGATTAGCTTAAATATACATATGTATGTATGTATGTATGTATATATCTCCTATTATTTATTCCATTTGTTGTACATCGCATTTTACTTAAATCACTTTTGCGTTATCTGAAATTCAAGGGCGCATCTAGTTTGTTTGTTATGCCCAAGAACCAGTTCTGCACCATTCTCAATCGCTTATCATCAGCACAGTTAAACTATTCGGGGTCTCGGATTTGAAACCCAAACCCAATATCTCTTATCAGCTGGCGTAATGAATGCCCAAACTCCGTGTCTGCCTTTTGCAATCCGATCAAAAGTCAGTGGAAGACAAGAGCTCAGCTCACTGCAAACTCTGCATCTTATCGTAATCAGCAGCATGATGCACCAGTAATGCCGATTCCAGGAAATTTGAAATTTTGAGAAAAACAAAAAATAAATAAAAAGAAAAACAAAGACCAGTTCGACAATATCTTATCAATGCACACACACACACACACACACAGACACTCAGACTGTTTTGTGACGAGACAAATGAGCCGCAAATGCTTCGAGCAAAACCGAAAATTGAACAATTCGAATGGAATTGAAAGGAAAACACATGGCACAGCCTCCTCCGGCTATTGACAAAAACTGCGACAATGCCAACGAGCGAGAATAAGAATAGAAAAGAAATTATCTGGCTGCGGAGCAAACGCAAATTGAATGAAAGCCAAACAAAAGGCGCGCATTTTGCCACCTAGGGAGCTGGGCAAACACAGACACAGCAGACGGAAATCTGTCTTCAGCCGATAGCCAGATGAGTCTATGAATACCCAAAGCCAGCTCATTAACTAGGCCTGGCCACACTCGAGCACGCAAGAACAAACACGCACGCACAAAAGGCTTATCAGCGGGGTAGGTACGGCTCAAGGGTACGCTTAAGGGCTGCGGCGCATGCGCGAAAGCAGGATGCAGGACACTGAACAGGACGCAGGAGGGAGTACGCCGTGCGCAGTGTGCAGTGTGCAGGTCATCAGCTGATTTTATGGCCTTGTTTTTGTTTTGCAAAAATAGATTTCCCTTTTGCAGTTTGTGTAAACAACATCATAAAATGCGGATTAGAGTCGGCGGATTGATAAGAGCCGCGAGTCAGCTATCTCTCATATATAAGCTTGACGCGCATCGCTCCAGGACAACAGTCAGCGAGACGACGACAAACCAATCACACACCATCGCCATCATCATCATTATTATCATCTAGAGAAATGGCTCTGACAATGCAAGGCAACAATCCGCTTAGCTATCGCCACAAGAAGTTCGATCTGCGTCGTCCACGTAACGACGAGCTCGAGCTGCAAATCAAGGAGGAGCTGCTGGCACGCCTCGATACAACGGGCTACAACAGTGCCTCCGACGAGGAGGAGGACACAAGTAGCCAGTGCTCCAGCTTGATGTCCCTGCCCAAGCGTCGCCGGCTCAACAGCACCGTATACGATGGCTCGAATGGCTCGGAATCGGCATCATCTTCGCACTCGCTGCCGCCCTCCATCAGTCCGGAGGCGCTGCGAGATATTTGCAAGTACCACGGCAATATGGTGCGAAAGTTTCCCAAGAAAGAACGTTCGCCCAAGGATCAGGACCGACGCAACAAGAACACCATCGCCTGTCGCATGAGTCGGCGCGTCAAGAAACTCGAACACCTGGCCATCGAGGAGCAGTACAAAGAGTTCACGCTGCAGCACCTGAAGATTGTTGAGCAGAGCATGCGTGCTACGGCCTATTTCAATCATCTCAATCAGCTGGTCAAGCATGAGCAATCCACTAAGAGCTCGGCCCCAGCGTCAGTTCCAGTGCAAGTGAAGAACTTTAGCATCGACTATTTGATGAACGGCATTAAAGGCGAGCAGTGTTAGCAAACACTCGTTTAATCACTGTGTGATGCTATGTAAATGCCTCCCACTTAAGCTTTACTAACTATTATTTAGTATATAATCTATTGATATATAGTATTTAAGTAATTGTGCTAGGTTTTTGTTTAGGAAACAAAAAGTAAAAGTTATCTATTTGTTTATGTTTTTATGCCGTAGAATATTTGTAAATTTTAAAATGATTAATGTTATTAAGATATTATATATTGTTTATTTTTACATTACTAAAAAATATTTTAAATATAACTATTAATAAAAAATATTAACAAAGTTTATAAAATATATATATATTTTTTTTATTTCATGAACTTTTCATCCTAATTTTTTCTGGCTCAGCTTATATTGCATTCCATCATTTATTTATGTTCAACTCGACATTTTATTTTACAATATTTTAAATTATTCGAATATATTTTCATGCTTCTATTGCGTTTAAAATAAGTAAATATGTAATTCGTGTATAAAATGTGTATGTATGAATCGATTGAAATTGAAGACAATATCTCTCTACTAATACCTGTCAAAAAGGGGGCGTGCCCAACTTAATCAAGCGTCGATACAGCAATGTTCATGTGCGTGCTCGTCCAACCCAGCTCGGCAATTACAAAATAATGTGTCATTTATCTGTTTTTTTACTATACCATCTTATTTTCTTATTAATATTTCAAATCTATAATCAAAGTTACCATCATTTTTTTCAAAAATTAATTTGCCTTAGAGACAGTTGCTTTCCTAGTGGTCTAACTATTTTTATTTGAATTTAAAAAAAAAAAAAACCTTTTTTTTTATATTTAATTATAATTTTATTTAATATATATTTTTATTATTAGGCCTGTTCATGTTTTTTAGTTGAATTGAAAGAAAATTTATTTTTAATAACACTTTGTTTTTATTTTTATTAATATTTATATTATTATATGTACTTATCGAATTGCTGATTAATGATATGGAACAAAATTAGCTCCTTTATATATGCGAGCTATGGGCACATTAAGGCCTTTGCTTTCACAATGCTTAGCGAGGTAGAAAATCAATGAACCAAAGGCAATGAGCAGCTCGAGCTGCCGCTCAAACTTATGCATAAGGAAGTTGCCATGCGAAGAGCCCCAGAGCAACTGCAACCGACTCGGCCGGGCCGAGGTGCAGTCAACTGTGCTGGGTCTAGCAACAATAACAACAGTTAGTTAATTAAAGTTGAGTATTCATGTTGAGCAGTCGTCGACGCAGTCGCAGTCGCAGTCGCAGCGTCCCTCCATCCCGCCCCGCACCGCACCACCTGGTAATTAACTCTTTTGGGGCTTTTATTTTCGGCATTGCGCAATGTCCGAGCAGCTAATTACTTTTAATTTTCATTGTGGGCCATTTGATAATGCTCCAAAGCAACTTCCTATCAAGCTGGGAAATCCAAAGGCAACCCACTTTACCAACACAACCACACACACATATACATACACACTGTTGTGCGTGTCTATGTGAATTTTGAGTTTAAATGCAATATATACCAAAACTTTGCGGTTGCAACACTTTGGTTGCTGAACTTGAGCTTTTCGCAGTTAGACTCAGACTATTGCAGTCTCTCTCTCTCTCTCTCACACTGTCTCTCTCTCTCTCTCTCACTCTGACATCGTCTGCTGCCTGCTCAGCCAATATTGATATTTGATTTGATGGTGTACAATATTTCGTAATTTCACTGCAGCTCGCTCAGTATTCGATTTGCTCTATGCTGCTCCATGCTCGCCCTTGACAAATGAACCAAAATAAATGAGAGCAGCAAAATTAACTTAGATTAAGTCTTGCTATAGTTGAGACTCTTTAACTCTTTGGCTGCACTTTAACTATTAGACAGCAATTGTGAACTAGTTTAATTTGAATTGCAAATTGCACGTCGATCTATACTAGAGCATGATTTAGTTTCATCCTCTTCTTGAATTGTTCTAGTTTACTTACAAACTTGGCCTTGCATCGATTTTACTTTGGCTAAAGATGATTTCACTGAAATGCATCAACCAAGCACTAATAAGAATCGTCGACTCCATAAAATAAATAAACATATCTTTGCTCATAATGACATCTGAGTTATTTTAGCCATGTGTGCGATTAATTTCTCCAATTTTCTATCATTAAATTAATTTCAGAGAAGATTTTATAAACATAGCACAACGATGATCGGAGCTAGACACTTGCAAAATATACACAGATTATATAATAATTGAAACAAAATTAGAGTTATCCCACTGGATGAAACTAAGAAAATTTGTATGGTAAACATGTCTAGCTTTGGCTACTTCGACTATCTAGGCTTACCTAAAATAAATAATTAAATGTTTTATGGGTTCCATCACGCCACGCTCAGTCTGCTCTCCAAAGTCATTATACCCTCAATTCTCTTGTTAGATAATCGCATAATAATTGTGGTATGATGAAGCATTGTGAGACATCTATTCTTATCCGTGGCCATGCATAAGTTCATACATTTCAATATACTAAAATATCCATCTAGGGGTCTGACATCGACAATATATTGAAACTGTATTGAATTCCTTGCAGAATTTTAAATTTCTCGTTCTTGAAACCCATTCGAAATAAACAAAACGCAATTATATAATAAGATTTTGGTTTTAATTTTAAAGTCAACAATGAATAAATTAATACTTAGACAACTAAATCACATTCAATGGCTATCTTAGATAATAGATTCGATGATTAGATAATAGGAGATCTATGCATCACTGCTGGGATCCAAAGATCAGGAGTTGTTGCGATAGCGCCATTTGCTGTAGGAACTGCTGTTGTTGCTGCGGCAGCTGGATGCCCGAGGCTGTGACGCCCTTCTGGTAGATCGCCTGCTGCAGCAGCTGGCGATAGTAGAGCCCGAAGCGGACCTGTTGCTCCATTATGGCGACCTGCTGCGCACGATATTGTTCGTATTGCTGCGACAAGTGCGCATCCTGCGCCTGTTTGGCCCGCCGACTCAGCAGACAGGCCAAGGTGTTGCGGTCGCGGCGCTGCTGCTCCTTGGGACTGCGCTGCCGTGCTGTCTGGCAGCGGCGCACCATGTTGGCGTGATATGTGCCGGCCAGAGCTGCTGGAGCGCTGGGCTTCTGCTGAGCGGCGCCGGTAGCTGTCTGAGTAGTGGAGGCTGCGTCGATGTTCTGCTCGTTGTCCAGCCAGGGGCGGAAGAAGCCCTTCACCTGGCGACGTTTGCAGGGCGGCGCCTCCAGTGTAATGTTCTCCTTGTTCTGCTCCAAAATCTGGTCCACATCTCGTTTGCGCTTGTGGGCCGCAAACTTCTTGTGCAAATAGTTGCTCGAATTGTTTGGCTTTTCCATTATTTCTCTCCTTTTCACTTTCGGCAATCTGTTGTTGATGCTTTGACGTCGAGTGTCTGAATGCTGCTGCTGATCGCTTGATATCCTGTTTATATGCGCAGGATGGGAACAGCCGGAGCAGCCCCTCCCTCGATCAGGTACGCGCATTGGGTCTTGTAAACAGACGGATTAGCGCATCTTTATTACCTAACTAATCGTTGTTTGGGCCGAGTGCTTTGCATATTTTATGACCTGTGGCGGTTAATTGCCGCAGAACATGTTGTTGCCTTACCTCCTGTTCTACCTGTTCTACCTGCCCCGGCCGCAGCAGCTCACCAAAGATCAGATGTTTTGTCGCGGCTACCGGAACTGGAAAACACCCGATCGCAAACCAATCGACTGCATACGAATACTATTTTTATTGCCCTACTTGACGCCATGCGTTGCGTGTGGTCCTACGCGTACTTCAAGGTATTTTCCAGCATTTTTTGTCACACTTCTTAGAAATTCCTGCAGGTCTACAAAAGGAATTTACCAAACAAAAGAATCTCAAATGTTTTTTTTTTCATGGTCGACCAAAGCAAATAGTTGACTATATCTCTAGCTACATCTTTACAAATTAATCTTGTGGGAATATTAAACAGCCATCCGAAATATATTATTAACTAGTAATGCTATTATATTAATAACTATCATAAACTCTTTAATTTTATAGTGTTGAATAATCACTGATCAAGTGTAAATGTATACATATTCTATATATGTATATGCATGTACAATATACATTCAAATAGTATGAATCACTCGTAGGGCACGTTTTGTAGCCTGTGTCCCAGCTCTGAAAATATTCAATTTTTCTTTAATTTGTAGTTAATCCAGTCAACCGATCATTGAGCTCAATGTGCTTTATCATATATTATATTATATTATATTATGGACTTGCATTTACATTTTCATCAACCCGAAGAGGGCAACAAGTATATACAACAAGTATATACAACGTTTTAAGCAGGTTCTGTTAAAATCCCGCCCTATTAAAAGTTTTATCCAAGAGCAACTTTCTGGTGAATAGAAACTGCTTTGTGGTTGGTATCAGTCTGCCTTGGTACTTCTGTATTGAATTGGAAATGCAAAATATGATGCTCACGCTCATAATAATGACAATTATGTTCGTGTATTTTGGTTATCTGCCGGACAATTCATCACGATCAAATCATTCTTGTTTCTGTTGAGGATGTTAAATTACTATAATTATAAGCCAAACAGAAGTATTATTTTAATTTTTACTAAGTAGCTTTCACTCTCACTCTGATAGAGTTTAAAATGTTTACTAAAGCATATATTTACTACTAAATTTGGATATCGCCATCCCTTGTCAACCAATACGTAAAAGGTATAGTTGTACTTGGGCAAATTAAAGAAGTATTTATTTAACGATTAAGTTTCCATAGTAAAAAAACCTGTGCAGAGCAAGTGCAGCCGCTGCGCAGTAAGCAGAGCTCGCGCATACGTGTAAGTGTTTATGTGTGTTTGCAAAGAAATTTGGAATTTGAAATTTGTTTATTGAAGCGGAAAGATATTTTATATCAATTGTTTATTAAGGAATGATTGTGATTCAATATAAGATATTACAGTAAAGGACAGCTATTATTCAAGGGATAGTCTGCCATTATCCTATATCCTAATAAAGTTATCAAGTTGAATACATTCAGATATACATACATGAACTATATTATTGGCACAGCAAGGTTTTTAAATTTTATAGCAATTTTTCAAGTATTTTGAAACGTTTTTTTAATGAAACAAAAAATTAACTAAGTAGAATAAAGTATTTATTAAGTTATACAAAAAAAATATTGCAAAAAACTTCATCGTACATTTTTTAAAAATTAAATAACTAAAAAAAACCTAAATTTTGCTGAACAAAATTATTGGCACACCTAAAAAAAAATGCATGTATATCAATAGCCGATGAGCTGAAGCAAATAAAAATGATTTCAATAAAATATGCCATTTATATCAGCATGGAAATTATAAAACTGCCGTATCAAAATCATGAATACAATCGTTGATAAACCTGGAGTATGTGAAAAACTTTGTTGTCAAATAATTTCAACTAAGCTAATTAGATTCGTTTACCTTCAACTACTTTACATAGAAACATGTCAAAAGTCGTCAAATATAAATTCTTTGCAAATATCATTTATTCATGGTCAACAATAATAAATAAATAAAACTTTAAAAGTTATCACAAAGTCAATAATAACCTAATGCTATATATAAATAAACTAGCTACAGTAAATCTTCCTTAATTGGGAAGTTTGTCCTTCTAGCGCCTCGTGGCCGTTGCCTGCTGTTGGGGCCAGGTTTGGTGGGTCTGCTGCCCGAGCTGCAGGCTCTGCTGGCTGCTGTTGGGCAGGGCAGTTTGAGACGCGGCCATCGTCTGCTGTAGGAAGCGTACGTAGTAGAGACTCAAGCGTACTTGCTGCTCCAAGTTGGCCTCGTGCTGCTGGCGGAATTGCTCGTATTGCTGCTCCATGGCCAGCTGCTTGGCTTGGCGGGCCCGGCGGCTCAGCAGGCAGGCCAGGGTGTTGCGGTCGCGTCGCTGCTGCGCCTTGGGGCTGCGTAGGCGTGGCGTGTGGGAGCGCACCATGTTGGCATGGTAGGTGGTGGCCACTGCATTCGGTGATGGACGCCGTGGTGGCTGTTCCACTGCTGTTGCTGAAGTGACTGTCGCTCGGGGCTCGTCCAGCCAGGGACGAAAGAAACGACGCTTGGCGGGCAGCTCCATAATGAAAACCACATCATCGTCTGTCTCCTCGTCCTGGCTGCGCTTGCGCTTCAATGCAGAGAACTTTTTGTGTGCATAGTCGGGGGTGGTTATCGTAGCAGAGTTATCCATGCTGGCAGATGCAGTTGATGTTGTTCTTGTTCGCCGTCTTGATGTCGACTGTGCTGCCATTGTGCTGGGCGTAATCTTTTATGCAACATTAGGTAATGGATATCAAAGCGTCAAAGCAGGCCGGCGGACAATTTCCCACCAATCCCAATCCCTGTGCCAGGTATTTCCCAATCAACTTCATTCATCCCAACGTGTGCCTGCGCTTCGAGCTAATCACCTTCAATGTAACCCTCGAGCATTCTTGGGCATTCACCTACCTGTGCTACCCGCTATCTTCTTGTTGTCGTCACAAGGGCAGGTATGCCGTCCGTTGGCCTGGCCTAATCCGCCGGCTGATGCTGGCATTGCATTGCTTGCGTTAGTTAAGGGCGTCATAAACCAGTTGTCCTTTTTTCGACTATTTGTATCGCCAGCGATTTTCACTGGAAATACCTGTTGAGTGAGCAGAGACAGAGACAGAGCCTCAGCCAGAGCCAGGCAGTATAATCCTGGCGCTCATATGGCCACGATGTCTGTAAGCGCATTGTTCGGCTTTCTTTGTGGCACCTGAAAAGTTTTATTGTTGCCGTCGATCCGCATTGCATTTATGACTTCAGCTTGTCCAGCTGAAAATGTTATTCTTCCCAAAGGTGTTGGGCATCATTACTGAATACCCGAAAGAGCCATATATATGTATTCTCATATATACAAATATTTCGTCTTGGTGTTAGTTGCTCTTGCTCGAAGTGTGTGCGTTTAGAATTATGTCGGATTTTTCATTGAATGGCTCGTTGTTAGAGTCTTGTCCATTGATTTATGTAGTCACTGCCGTGCGACAGCTAAGCGGATTTATCTTTAGGTGGGCTTGAGCTCTGCCCTCAACAAATGCTGAGCACAAGAGCCGGGACATCAATTGTAGAGCCTCAAGCTGAAAGATTGACATATTGTTTAATTACAATGATCTGATTCCACCTTCTACAATTAACCGGAAAGAATTGCTTTAGCAAATGTAGTGCAGTCTCCAATATTTCAACGATTATGTAACTGGAATGCACTCACACAAACCTACCAGGAAATGATATCACCAAGGCTGACTTCTAAGAAAGGTGAACCGAAAGAAAGCAGTAAGTGGAAAATGTTGTGAATGAATCGCGTGTTATATGATTGATGCACTACATGACCTTTCTCACAGACCTTCTTCTATGGGCTTTGATTTTGTAGTTTTTGTTTCCTCCATAGTCAATGCATAATACAATCCGTAAGGATCCCACGATCACGAATTCAATTTTTGTTATCAATTAATTCTCCCTTATTGCAATTGATATAATTTATATTTACACGTTTTGCTAGTGAAATACTTTTATTTTAGAATACCTATTTGAAGAAGTTGATTTTTAGAACTTGTTAGTAGGTTTGGTTCAAGTTGTTTCTTTTATTAATAAATATATATATAGATACTAATTAAACTAGCGTGAAATTCATATCTACTTTTCAATTCTTCTTCAATCAAGCAATCATCAAAAGATATAAAATATATATATGCTTTGATATTCTTCGTTAAACACATAGATGTTGAGATATAACAGAATTTCTAATTTGGTTTAATATATGTATATGACAGTTAAAACCCCTACTTAATAAATATTTAATAAAACCTTGCTGATAAGAATCCATAAGTTTACGAACTCAAATTTATATTTTATTATCAACAAAATATTTTATTATAATTTAAAACCAAATGTTTTGCTAAAATATATTTGTATTATTATCATTTTATTATTCTTTAAGAAATCAATTTATTTTGCTATTGCCCCTCAAATTTTATTGCTTTGATAATTCAGAGTTTAAATAGTAATCAAATTATAATAATTTTTGGAAAGACAAACCCTTAATTTGATCCAATAATAAGATCTCTAAATGCTTGAAAATTTGTAATTCAGTCACATATGCCATCCATTGTGCATTAAAAATCGACGCAACCTTTCGGGAAAATCCCAATAAATTTCCATTCAATTGGCCATTGTCAGTAAGCCGTCGAGGCGCAGCATCTTGGAATGCCGTCGAACTTAATGAGCCAGATTAGCGGTAAGCGAGATAAGAATCAAGAAAGCGCTGAGCCAGAGCCGACTCTGGCTATAGCAACGGGATCTGCGACCTCATCAAAGAGCATACCGTGTACGGGGCGCAGGCGCTGCCTGAATGTGCATCTTCTGCTGAAATTTTCCTGAAGAAAATACCAGGAAAATTGGAATAAGTGCAGGCGAACAGACAGCCAGCAGAGAAGGTGCTCGTATGTCTGTAGGTGCGAGCCGAGCACCACTGGGCAAATGAAAAATTAATTACAAAAAGGACTTGGCCAAGCAGGTAAGCTAGTCAGCCTGCGAGCAGTTCATATATATATTCTAGAACAAATCCTTTTCTTTTTATGACAATGCAGACCTTTTGTCAACGAAGTTTTTCCCATAAACAAGACGCAGCTCACCTTAATGATAATTTTGCTGGGCGAGCGCAGGTAGCCAGCAGCCCAGTCGACTATAAAAGCAGGTCTTGCGCAGCACAAGGAGCACAGTCAACAGACAACCACCAAAGTAACAACATCACATTCTAACAAACTAATACGCACAAAAATACTCAGATATACGATGGCACCTTCACAAATGGATTATCTACAACACGAAAGCGCGACGAGTGCCGGCGGTTACACTCACAAAAAGTTCAATACGGGCTGTTATAAGCACAAGAAATTCGGCAAACGCGACAGCAGCAAAAGTGACACGCCCACGACCGCACCATTATTCCGTCCATATGCACTGAGCGATAATACGCCACGAAAGCGTCGTCAGGAGTCCGAGCAACGACAAGGTCAACAGCAGCCCCAATACCAAATGCCACCGACGCCACCAACAACACCACCTCAATATCAGCATCAACAACAGATGCAACAGCATCTAACATATGCACAGCCAAACCAGTTCTACACGCCCACAGCCACAGCCACGCCTACGCCAAGCATCAATCATCAGGCATTCGCCTATATGCTGCAAAAGCAACGGACCGTTCTCCAAATGCGCCAATTGCTGAGCATCAATCCGGATGCAAATACCTGGCCAGCACACTTGCGCAACGCCCTCTACTCCATGCTGCAGCAATGAAGGGAATAAATGGGAGCCGCAATCGGTGGCATCACAGAGATGATGGCCACCAACTTGGTGATTTGCCTAGCAACCAGTGATATAGAAATTTAAGTGCCTCACAGATTGTATATGATATGAAGACAGGAATGAATGAAACTGATCTAGACGTAGTAATAATTGTACATAAACTATTTAATTAAACCAACAACTTAAAGAAAACCAAATAAAATATTTTAGTTTAATGTAAAAAAAAATTATCCGCTTTTAAATTGGGTGCTAAATGTCAAAGATTGGGCTTTAGATTTTATGCAATGCATATGAATTATTTGAAAATTCAAAGAGTCGTTCATTGTACATGTACAAGTGTTTGCTCCAATGTTCAACTCTGGTATTTATATATTATTTTCAGTGCTAGATTTGGCAAGAAGAAGACAACCAAGACATACTATGTCAATCGGAAGTGCTCTGTCGATGTATGAAGATTTTTCATGTGCGAATCAAATATAATTTCATAAGTAAAATAAATAATAAAATCTGGGTTATCTCTTAATATGATGCATACATTACGATCCACTATCATTAAGATTCACATCAATTAGAAAAGTTAATAAATATTAAATCCGGCCAGTTCATTTAATGTGCATTGTATTTGATGATTGCAAGCATTTACTTTTAAACTGATTTAAATAGAACTCTTAAACAATTACTTTAGGGTTGACTTAAAATCTACAGAGACTTATTAAATCCCAGGCGATCGAAAACCGAGTTCGGTTGACCCCTTGGCCTATTGCCGGCATTCACGCTCGAAGTTCGCCGTGGTGCGAAATGCGGCTTTTCATCGCGCTGCTGATTCCGATGCGATGTTGGAGGCTGTGCAGCAGTTGCCGTCGTGCCCAGACGCTTGTGCACCGGCAGCGTATCCTGTCGTGTAAGCATCTCATCGCTGCGCATGCGTATTGCCTTTCCTTTCACAGGGCTAAGGCGTGCGCCTGGTTTCTTTGGCGGAGACGCTTTGAGATTGTATGTTTTGCGTGTGGCATGTAGCTTAGATACTGTTGACAAAAAAATTAATTAATAAACATACATAAAAGCATTTACAGCAGCAAAGCTCACCCATGCCCAATCGGGACTTTATGTTACGCGCAAATTTGCTATTGCCACGCGCTTTATATGGCGTATTTGGTGCAATTTCTCGCACTTCCGCAGTGGAGGCAAATTTAACAATTTTCTCAACAGGTGCTGCCATAACAACATCCTGTTCACTTTCGCTGCCTTCGCTGTCTAAATCACTGGCAGTCTCTCTTAAATCATCATCATCCATGCTGTCATCATCGCTATCATCGCCGCATTTCAATGGCACCTTGTGGACAAGCATCACCTTCTGCTGCGATCGTACCAGTGGCGCGGCTGTAGTTTTAGCCTTCATTATTGACGTGTTGCGCTTGACGATATTGCCTCCGGTGGTGCTTTTACTGTTTTTCAAAATCGATTTTATCTCCTTGGCCACAACTGTATTTTGTTGTACTGACTCCAAGGATTGCTTGCCACCGAGCCGTGCAAAGACCGAGTTATTACTAGAAGTGGCGGTTACCTTGCCGCTAGATGCCTTATGAACGCCGGTGATGTGCACGCGCACGTTACTCTCGGCGCTGCTGGAGACAATGCCTTCCTGAGCATCATCGCACTTACTCTTGTGTAAGCGCGCAAAAACGTCGGTTTTCTTGGTGCTAGTAACACGATCCGAGTATACTGCAATATATTGAAAATTGAATATAGTCGCCCGGCGGTTATCAACATCACCATAACATACACTGCTCCCGCTTAGCCAGAATTTGCTTGCTCCGCTCTGTTGTGCCCGATGGCAAGGTAACTTTATATTTGCCTTCATGCTCCGGCAGTACGCGTCGCGCGGGCTTTGTTGGTGGTGAGCTTCTATTGGCACTGGTGTTGACAGCTGTGGGTGCTGATATCGGTTTGCTGCTAGGCGATTCAGCTGATGCACTAAGTAGGTTTTTGGTCTTGGCCGTGGGTTTGGGCGAAGGCGCATCTGTTATGAGTACTTTGTCGAGTACATGCTGGTCGCTGACTTGTTTGGCATGACGCAATATTGCAATTATGTCGCCCATAGGCGTGATGCCCATCTCACGTAAGTATTCCTTATTTAAATCAAGCAACATGTCGTCCTGTATGCGGTTTTCAACAAATATGTGAGCATAGCTGGCCGCTGCTGGGGACGGAATTCCCCCGGCATTGAAAAACTTCACCCATCGTGCTGAAATAGAGTTGTATTAGTATTCTCCAAATACAATTGACTCTTGTACGAACCTGCACTTGACTTTGACATATCTTTTGAAGAGAGAAGCACTATTTCAATACTTATTCTACAACTTTATTTTTATTTTTCATACAGTGCTGTAGTTGTATTGTTTGGAATCAGTTCATCTGAACGGTTCCGGGGAACAAACTGACAAACGACATTGTTCGTTTTGCTTCAACCAACTTAAGCTTTTTTATACAATTTTTATGACACAAATCTCATGGATCTTCAAAACAATTAACAAAGACTTAAATAAAGTAATTTATATTTTCTTTCGAATGTATATGGTTACACTCCGTTGCCTCCCTGCAAATATATCGATAACATAATATGCAAGCTTCGATAGACAAATTATTAAACAGCTGACTTCAAAGAACCATAGAAGATCAAAAAGCAGCGTAAACAACGTTGTTGCACGTGCGGCATTTAATTAATATTATTTGGACCATGTCGACTCGTATGGAACTACTTAGTGAACAAGGATTGCGTCTGGATGGCCGCCGACCGCACGAGCTGCGCCATATCAAGTGCAAACTAGGTGTATTTGAGCAGCCTGATGGCAGCGCCTACATGGAACAAGGAAATACAAAAGTTCTGGCAGCCGTGTACGGACCGCATCAAGCCAAGGGGAAAAAAACAGAAGGCAACGATCTGGTTATAAATTGTCAATACAGTCAGGCCACGTTTTCTACTTCGGAACGTAAAAATCGGCCGCGTGGTGATCGGAAATCACAGGAGTTTAAAATGTACTTACAGCAGGCGCTAAGCGCAGCTATCAAATCCGAGTTGTATCCACGCTCTCAGATCGACATATACGTGGAAGTTCTGCAGGCGGACGGTGCTAACTATGCTGTTTCCCTAAACGCTGCCACTCTGGCTCTCATCGATGCGGGCATATGTTTAAACGAATTTGTTGTTGCCTGCACGGCATCCCTAAGCAATGCCAACATTCCGCTCACTGACATCTCACACATCGAAGAGGTCTCCGGTGGTCCCAAGCTAACCATAGCAGCATTACCTACTGCCGAAAAGATTGCATTTATGGAGATGAGCGAACGCTTTCATATTGACCAATTAGAGACGGTCATAGAGACCGCGATGGCCGGTTGTCGCGAGATTCGAGACATTCTGGAGTCGGCAGTTAAGGAGCATCTTATTCACATTGGCAGCGCAGCCGATTGGGCGCGCGTCTGTTAAAATAAAGCAATTTTATTAAACTTTTCCTATTTCAACAATTTACAATTATTTAGTTTCTATCTACTGCTTCCTGTGGCGGTGGCTGCCACGTTTCCAGTAGCTGCACTAGAGCCTGCTTGCGGTGTTCTAACTGAAGGCGCTCAATCAAACCACTCAGCTGCTGACCGCCCTCCAGGAAGCCAGGAAGATTGTGCAAAGTGCCACCCTGCTGTACTCGATGATCCGTTACACGGTCTTGCACGAAATTGTACGTTCGAATCTTTTCGTTACGGTTCAGATTGCCTTGCTGTGCCTTACGGGTAGCCTTTTTACTCGCCTCAGCACTCTGCAGCTGCTGCTGTATAAGCTTTGCCTGCAGTCGCTTAAGCGCCACCTCGCGATTCTTCAGCTGAGATCGCTCCGATTGTGATTCAACAGCTATTCCCGAGGGTAAATGTACAATTCGCACAGCCGAATCTGTAGTGTTCACGTGTTGTCCGCCAGCGCCGCTGGCACGTTTCGTCTCAATCTTCAAATCCCGCTCTGCTATTTGCACTTGCACATCAGCCGGCCTTGGAATTACAGTTATGGATGCAGTGCTGGTGTGGATTCGTCCAGATTTCTCAGTGGCCGGCACACGTTGCACTCTATGTACCCCCGCCTCGAAGCGCAGCCAATTGTACGCCTCCGGATCGTTAACCTGCAGATTAGCATGACGCAGTCCACCTATGTCGGTGGTCTCACGGTCAAATTCTTCATACTCCCAACCCATGTGGTCGAAGTAGCTGGTGTACATGTCATATAATTCCTGGGCGAACAGCATGGCCTCCTGTCCACCGGCACCAGCGTTCACCTCAAATATCACCGCTGGATAGTCCTCGTCATCGGACAGCGCAAGTAGCTCTTGCAGCATATCCTCCTCCTGTTTACGCAACAAATTTGAGTACACATTGTTTTCTTCTTCCATAAGCGCACGCATATCCTCGTCCTTCTCAGCTGCCAAATCCTTCTCTGATGTTATATTGCGTTGCAAGGCTCTGTGCTTCTCCAGGCTGTTTACAACGGGGTCCAAACGGGTCAAGCGTTCATATAGGCTGTTGTTGCCGGCTGCATTGACGCGCAGCGTATAATATTCTTGACGCAGGGATTCCAAGTATGATTGCAACTTTTCGTTCTGAAAACTCAACGGATCTGTACTTGCCCATCGACGCACTAGACACTCACACCGCACTCTCAACAATTTACGAAGCATTTTTATTTTAAGCAAATAATAACAGCAATTCTATCTTTCGTTGAATAACTGTTTAACTAACCCATCATATGTTCGCTGAAATGCTTCATAGCAATGAGAGCGTGTAAGAAAGCATATAACCGTTTGAAATGTTTACAAACAGCTGTTCGGTTATGGCGAGTTAAATAAATATTTTTAAAATTCATCTCAAATCATAGTTTTCAGCTAATTTTTATTTAAGGGAATGTTTTTAAGCTATTATATATATATATATACAAAAACAATATAACGGAGTGCTCTCAAATTTTGAAATGTATTCAATCAAACATTTTCTTTCAGCAAGTATTAAAATCTTTGGGTGCCCACATCTGCGTAGGCTGTTGCCAGAGTTGAGTAAAAGTTTATATATTTCTCATTCTAATGGGCTCGTTCACTCGCGAAACAATTATTTAGTTATTATTATATTTAGCCATATCAGTGCAATAGAAAGTACTTTTAAATTACTTGAAAAAGCCCACAGTATAACAAACACAAATAATAACAATCTGTGCAACAAATATGTGCAAGATCCATGTATAGCTATTTTCAGTTATGCATGCGTGTGTGTGTGAATGCGAGTGCGAGTCGAGTGCCTGTGTGTGTTTGTGTGTGTGATGTGTTGTGTGCTTGATTAATGAAAACAGTTGTGTTCGTAGTGGTGTAAAGTGCAGCAATAGCAATTAAGTTTAATTAAATAATAAATTGGATGTGAAATAGCTGCCAGAGTGCATTTACATAGAGTCAGCATAAGTCGTAGCAAAAGTATAACGAGATGCCACCACTGAAAAGCTACTCCATGCACCATGAATTCAATGCAAATGCAAATTGTCACAACGGCAATGAAAACACCACCGATAACGATAACGATTACTTCAACCAGCCTGCTACTGCATCTGCTACGTCTGCAGCTAGCACCCAACGCACAAATCTACCCTCTTACTGCAACGCCCAATACCCATTCAAGGTGCTATCTAATCTAAACCAGTTGCGGGAGCAGTCACGCTTCTGCGATGTCGAAATTGTTGCAGGCGAATCAACGTTCAATGCACATCGCGCAGTGCTGAGCGCTGCCAGCGCCTACTTCGAGGCCATGTTCAGACCCGAATTGGGCCTTAATGAAGTCAAGCAGAAATCAGTGGTATTGCATACAATTGATGGCGATATACTACACATACTCCTGGACTTTATCTATACAGGGCGTTGTGAAATTACGCAGGTAAATACTCACCAACTTCTTGTCTGCCAGATGTGAGTTCTATAATCACATATCTTCCTCCTCTCTTAGTCAAATGTTCAGGAATTGCTCGCCGCCGCGGATATGCTTCAACTGAACGAAGTTGTTGACGGATGTTGTGAATTTCTGTGTCGCGAACTGCATGCCACCAATGCACTGGGAATATTGCGGTTTGCAGAAGCACACAATTGCGAGTCCCTAGCAAAGAGTGCAATGAACTTTGTGCAGGCCAATTTTCCAGCGGTAAATACAAAATGCTTTATTATTAAATTGAATACACTCTGTTCTGTCAAGATTTTTCCTGCGTAGTTGTATTGCAAAATTTAAACACTTTAGCAGCATCTAATTGCATTTAACATGTATTATACATGGCCTGGGGAAAGTTTCCTCCAAGCTCTTCTAAAAATTCTTATAGACTCATTAGAGTGTTCCTCTCCACGGAAATCTTTAGTAAAAGGCGAAAGATTTATTCGACAACTGAAGA